ATTGTTTAAATTTATTCTGCAAGCAACCAATTAGATATCTCGAAAGCAACAAATTCTTATACTATTATTATGTACAATTTTGTTGCTATATAAGTATATATTGTTTCGCTAACTTAAACTTTTTTTAGCGGAACATTATTTTTTAAAGAAACTTACAGAGCAACACATTTTTTCTTCGACAACTTTTTAGCAAGAAATGAGCAATAAATAAAAATATTAATTAGAATTGGTTCTGCTCATTTTGTTCCGCTACCTTATAAGACGTAGAGAAATCGTAAAGTGAAGAACTTGGAAGAGAAATGATCAAAGTTTCAGAGAATTGTTGAAGCAAACTCAAGATTTATTCCGTTCGTTGTAATAAATACAAATATCGAAACTGCGAAAAAAGAAACCAGACGAAGCACCGAGAGCAACCCCTACATTTTATGCAAGATTGCATTTCTCGAAAGATATTTCTTTCCCTCAAAGTTCCAGAGAAGCGCATGGACATCGGGAATGCAGTTAACTGCAGAAAAGGGCGCAATGGGATTCAATTTGAAATTCTAATTCGCCCCCAGCCGTCGTTCCGATAGAATTTTAAACGAGAAAACTCTCGCGGCGAGATGACTCGCAGCGCGCGAAGAGAGAGAGATCGAAGTTGAGAGATAAATAACTAAGTAGACGTCAAGCAAACGAGAGAAAAGAGGGCTTAGAATTCATAAAGCAGATCTAAGATTCGTAAACAGGATATTACAGTTACCGCGATCAAAATGCACGCGATAATAAAAGAGTATAAAGACAAGAAAGAGAGGACGAGAGAGGAAGGGAAAAGAAAACATTGCAATAAAGATGATGATTTTCTCCGGCAGCAATCGATGTAATTCCATAGTGTCGGGTGGAAAGAGGGTAATAACGGACGCTTAAATCGATATACGCGCCCCTTTTTACCGTTAATAACACTCGGCTAGGGTCGGAATACACCGAGCGGTGCGGATGAGAGGAAAAGAGTTGCCTTCATAATCCACCCCCGCGTCCCATAAATCGCGCACATCGCGCGGATAGAATCAGAATTATTATCGCCGCGGGTAGATACGCGAGCTCTTTGCGCAAATGGAGATTTAAGGGCCTAGTTTACTTTAGAAGGTCAAAAAAAATCGATCTTATTTTATAGTTTCTGAAAGTATGAAGAATATGTCTTTCAAATTTTATCGAAAAATTCGCAAAATTGACGGAGTTATAAGACTTTGAATAGGATGGCGCGCGGATTTTGAAATGGAAAACTTGCAAAACTTTAAACGCGTTTTTCCAAAACTTTTTCCAAACTATTTTCAAAGTTGACGTGACGATTGAAAATTAATGAACCAAACAACTTCAATTTTTCTTTAATAAAAGAAAACATTTTTTTAGGAAATCTAAACCCAATTATAATGTAAAAAAATAATATTTAATATTTCTCTGACCTTCAAGAAATGAAAAAGTTTCAGCAAAAAATCCAAATATCTAATTTTAATATGGCACTACTTTGTTATTTTTCAATTTTCTCTAATAAAATTAGGTTCAAAATCCTACTACTATAAATATCCTACAGAATAAAACTAGACTGAGTTTATTTATTTCAGACAATTGTACACGAGCAGCAATATGTCACATTGTCAAACTATGCATTTTTGAACACTCCATGCGCAGAGGTTTTTGTTGAACAAAAAAATCTAAATATTCAAGATTTAAAAATACTGACATACCGTTTAAATATCAATAAAAACATATGTAAAAAGATTAATTTCTAATATTTTTCAAAAACTTCTAAAAATAATCAATTTTTAATACTGCTAGGATAGATTAGGCCCTTAATGAATATTAATCATTAAACGACAATTGATATGTAAAACACCAAGAAGATCAATTTTTAAGTTTACATATTCTGTCGCCGTCTTTTCACACACAAAACTCTCTATATATAATAGTATCGCTTTCTAATGCACAGAACGAAAAAGCGATCGAGAGAAACGACGAGCGATTATTATCCGAAACCATTGATTCTCGCGAAAAAAAAAAAAGAAACAAGGATTTGTTTCGCGCTATCGCACGGAAAACGAATGAGCATGCAAGGCAGAGAACGAATAAAAAAAGGCTAATTCGCAATCGATTTCGGGCAGGTGCAAAGAGGGTTTTGGCAGTGATGCGATCGTAAATACAGGTAATTACCAGTCGAATTTTTCCGAGAATATCCGACGGAGAGAATAGAAAAGATATATAAGGATTACGAACTCTTTCACTTTACGAAAATCGTCAAATTGACGATTAAGATGTCAATAACACAAATGACATACAAGTGCTATTTATGCGCTTATCGGGTGGGTTAAGTGGAAACAATCTGTATCAACATTGCTGTAATTTAGCGCGATTAAGTTAGTACGGGGCAAAAATGTTATGAGATTTTTCTATTTGCTCATCTCAGGTCCTCGTTATCATTCTTATCATTTGCGGCGTTGTTTTATTGTTATACTATTATTATTCCACATTTTATTGTTTTTCTTTTTTATTAATGATAAGAGGTTAGTAACTATACATGATGTTTGCTCAACTTCAAATTAAATAACGAATACGTTCGCAAATTTTAATACTTTAAAAGCTATTTATATTTTGTATATCTCCAAATCACAGAATATTTCCTTACGTCTTCTTTAGCTTTTTTGAGAATAACTTGTTTGGCAAATATATATTGAGAAGAATTATTGAGAAAAATTATTGAGAAGAATTATTGAGAAGAATTATTGAGAAGAATTATTATTTATGACATTTCTCTTCAATCTATATCAGATCTTAATTTAAAATTCTGATCTTAATTTAAAGTTTATTTACAAAATTTATTTTCACTTATTATTTTTATCCGAGAGCTATAATTATCTAAATGTATATTTCTCGAGAAGAAGAGACGATTCTTCGAATTGAAAAGATTCAAAGAATCTGTAATAAAAAAGGGACGTCCGCTACTCGATGAACATCGTTAACAGCACTTTCTCGGAGCGATTTAAATAAAAATGCGCTACGACAACAACTCGTTCTGGGAGTTTAAAGTGTTAATTGTCGAACGTCGCGGAACGGCACATTAACCTGAAAGATCGCGTGAATCGGGAATGCGAACCGATTGATATCGGCGATTACATACCTCCGACAAGGCGTCCTCCATCATATCGCTCGTGTCCCTCATGACTCCCGATGGAAACTAGCACCGACAACAATCACTCAACGCCCACGTTCTCTCTACCTCTCTTCTCCGTGAGAGACTCTTCTTCCGTCTCTCTCTCTCCTTTTATCTTCCTCTGCACTCTTCTTCTCTCGCACCCAACGTGTTCCTCCTCTCTTTGCTCGCTTCGTTATCTTTCGTCTCGCTTGTCGAGAAAGAGAGAAAGAGGGAGGGAGGGAGAGAGAGAGAGAGAGAGAGAGAGAGAGACCAGCTACCCGCAACGAGAAGGTATATATATATATATATAGCTGCTTGTTCATAAGTTATGAGAGTAAAATGACCAAAAATTGATTAGTTTACGAGATATATTAATTTGACATAATTGTACTTAAACTATGAAATATCTCGTAAAATATTCATTTTTCGATTATCTCAATAGTTTCATGCACAAAATAATGAGAAGAATCAATTGGTGTAAAAAAAATACATAGTTATTTTTTAAAAAGGTATGAATTTGCCACATATTTAATTTGCAAACTGTATATTTATAGATATATTTATTTAATTTGCAATATACAGGGTGTCCTAGACCATCCGTACACCCCTTTTCTTTCAAAAACTAAGCATTTTAGAGAAAAACGTTTTGAACAAAAATTGTATGGTTTTGAGGGGCGATCGAGAGAAACGACGAGCGATTATTATCCGAAACCATTGATTCTCGCGAAAAAAAAAAAAGAAACAAGGATTTGTTTCGCGCTATCGCACGGAAAACGAATGAGCATGCAAGGCAGAGAACGAATAAAAAAAGGCTAATTCGCAATCGATTTCGGGCAGGTGCAAAGAGGGTTTTGGCAGTGATGCGATCGTAAATACAGGTAATTACCAGTCGAATTTTTCCGAGAATATCCGACGGAGAGAATAGAAAAGATATATAAGGATTACGAACTCTTTCACTTTACGAAAATCGTCAAATTGACGATTAAGATGTCAATAACACAAATGACATACAAGTGCTATTTATGCGCTTATCGGGTGGGTTAAGTGGAAACAATCTGTATCAACATTGCTGTAATTTAGCGCGATTAAGTTAGTACGGGGCAAAAATGTTATGAGATTTTTCTATTTGCTCATCTCAGGTCCTCGTTATCATTCTTATCATTTGCGGCGTTGTTTTATTGTTATACTATTATTATTCCACATTTTATTGTTTTTCTTTTTTATTAATGATAAGAGGTTAGTAACTATACATGATGTTTGCTCAACTTCAAATTAAATAACGAATACGTTCGCAAATTTTAATACTTTAAAAGCTATTTATATTTTGTATATCTCCAAATCACAGAATATTTCCTTACGTCTTCTTTAGCTTTTTTGAGAATAACTTGTTTGGCAAATATATATTGAGAAGAATTATTGAGAAAAATTATTGAGAAGAATTATTGAGAAGAATTATTATTTATGACATTTCTCTTCAATCTATATCAGATCTTAATTTAAAATTCTGATCTTAATTTAAAGTTTATTTACAAAATTTATTTTCACTTATTATTTTTATCCGAGAGCTATAATTATCTAAATGTATATTTCTCGAGAAGAAGAGACGATTCTTCGAATTGAAAAGATTCAAAGAATCTGTAATAAAAAAGGGACGTCCGCTACTCGATGAACATCGTTAACAGCACTTTCTCGGAGCGATTTAAATAAAAATGCGCTACGACAACAACTCGTTCTGGGAGTTTAAAGTGTTAATTGTCGAACGTCGCGGAACGGCACATTAACCTGAAAGATCGCGTGAATCGGGAATGCGAACCGATTGATATCGGCGATTACATACCTCCGACAAGGCGTCCTCCATCATATCGCTCGTGTCCCTCATGACTCCCGATGGAAACTAGCACCGACAACAATCACTCAACGCCCACGTTCTCTCTACCTCTCTTCTCCGTGAGAGACTCTTCTTCCGTCTCTCTCTCTCCTTTTATCTTCCTCTGCACTCTTCTTCTCTCGCACCCAACGTGTTCCTCCTCTCTTTGCTCGCTTCGTTATCTTTCGTCTCGCTTGTCGAGAAAGAGAGAAAGAGGGAGGGAGGGAGAGAGAGAGAGAGAGAGAGAGAGAGAGATACCAGCTACCCGCAACGAGAAGGCACGATGACAAGTGCTCGCGGGCCGCTCTCTCCAGCACCGAAGAGGGACGTCACGAGGAGAGAGAGAGAGAGAGAGAGAGAGATACCAGCTACCCGCAACGAGAAGGCACGATGACAAGTGCTCGCGGGCCGCTCTCTCCAGCACCGAAGAGGAATTCCGTGACGTCACGAGCAATACATCTCTGCCATCGCCAGCGGGCGGGCGATCTCGCGGGTGCCGAGACTTCTACCGCTGCTACGACTTTTGACGGATCGATCGTATCGTCTCTCCTGGGACCGCTCACGCCTCCTCTCCTCCTCGTCACAGAATTCTCGGCGAAATATGGCTGGCCGCGAAATAATATTTTGTGCGATACTATATTGTGCACGATATACGCACGATGGATTCTTCCTTCGAGAGGTGTTCCGGCACCTCTTGCAGTGTTCACCACGCGCTACCGGCTCCACGATCCATCGTAGTGCGCGACTTCGGAGACACTAAACGGCCGCGCGCGCGCGCTGGCAGGTAACGCCGAGTGCTGGGTGCTGGCAGGTCGAGACCCTCCTGCCAGAAGGCAGATCTGCCACCATGCCAGCCGTCGTCGGCGCACGCTCGTGTTTCTCCGTCTCTCTCTCTGTTCCTCTTCCCTGTCCCTCTTACCACCATCCGATTCCGTTCGAGTGCGCAGGGTCGAACGTCTATAGGTTTTTTTTCTCTTTCCGTTGAAGAGAAAATGTCAAAATGTCAAAATGAAGAAATGTCAAAATGAAGAAATGTCAAAATGAAGAAATGTTAAAATGAAGATATGTCAAAATGAAGAAATGTTAAAATGAAGAAATGTCAAAATGAAGAAATCTCAAAATGAACAAATGTTAAAATGAAAAAATATCAAAATGCAGAAATGCCAAAATGACGAAATGTCAAAATAAAAATACGCCAAAATGAAGATGTCAAAATGAAAAAAATGTCAAAATGCAGAAATGCCAAAATGAAGAAATGTTAAAATAAAAATACGTCAAAATGAAGAAAATATCAAAATTTTACTCTGTACATAAAAATAATTGATTTACCTCGCAACTCTACATATAATTAAATTACACGCACGAGTGCGGTGGAACGAGTCGAGAACTTCTTGGCGGAATTAATTTCGTCGACTAGAGGAGATTGGCGCCCCATCACCGCGCGACGGCACTGGCGATATCTCGGCGCTGTCTCTCCGTTCAACCTCCATTCACGCGCTCCGTTCATCTCCGTTCACGCCCGTCCCTCTTCCTCCTCCTCCTTCTCCGGGTTTCACATGCTGGTCGCGCGACTTGACAGCGCAGCTGCCTCCGCCTCTTGGACTTGCTCGCCAGACGTCGCGCCGTCGCGGCCTCTTCATTGTCGTCGCGACGCTATCGCGGACGCTCGCGAGACATCCGGCGAAATCAGACATCAGGCACACGCATTACGTTCTCTCATTACGGCAAAAATTATGATACAATGCATTATATGTATATACAGAGTGGGGCATTTAAAGTGTTACAAGGTGTTTTCTCCGAAACTTGACGTCGTACAAAAAGATGTTTTCGACAAAATGTATAGGATCTTAAGGGAAAAAAGGATTATTAATCTTGAATTTTAACTAAGATCATTTTTCAAGATCATGTGAAAGTCAACTTATTGTTAATTTTTTCAAATAGAACCACTCTCTAATTTTTTATATAAATCGATTCCCCGCAATATTCAGCTTAAAAAGTTATGAGGCTAAAATGGCCAAAAATTGATTAGTTTACGAAATATATCAATTTGACATAATTTTATATAAACTATGAAATATCTCGTAAAATATTCATTTTTCGATTATCTTATCTCAATATTTTTATGCACAAAATAATGAGAAGAATCAACTTAAAGTTAGTTTTTTTAAATGAAACTATCCTCTAATTTTTATATAAATCGATTCCCCGCAATATTCGACGAAAGAAAATACATAGTTATTTTTAAAAAAAGTATGAACGAGCAGCTATATAGGATATATAT